CAAAATTGATGGATATTGCAGTAGCATCATGGATACTATCAACAATACATCCACGACAAGACAATAAGAATATCATTAATCACGGGATCATATAAATCTTTCTACAAATCATTCGTCTTGCGGTAGGGTCCTTCAATTAATGACAACTCCTTATATTATTTGTCATTATGAAATTTAATTAGTTAGTTTAATATCATTAATCAAATTAGAAATTTTTTTTTTGGATCTAGTTAATCACACCCAATTAAAAGATTTTTCACTATTTAAGTATCATTAATCACATCAAATAGTGGTCTCGTACTTAAAAGAGTAAGGGGTTGGAGCTAGTACTCCAACACCTTATTAAGCTTAAGACAATAATTAATTATTACATTTATATACTACAAGAAATGGCATATGTGAGCAATGCTAAAGGATAATGGAACTCTAACAAGATGATAAAGGGTACTTACTTTCTTAAGTTTAAGGACTAATATGTTATGTTGTCGTAATTGATATCTTCCACCGAACAGTGAAATAAAACTTTTATATAAGGAATCTATTCATATCAGTTAAGTGAACACTTCTTCGAATAAGTACCTAAATATTTATTTTTATACTAATTATATGAGCAATTAATAAAATAAATCACATTATTGAAATAAGCATAATTTTTTAAAATCTAAAATGAATTAACAAATATCCTAATTTTGCAATTCTATGATTGGGGATTTTTGAAATGCTAAGAAATGTGCTTCGTTTATGTGGTCTTTATCATAACCAAAATAGTAATTAATTATTCCACAAACATAATGAATAAAACATGATAAATTAAATGCATTTACAAATAAAAATATTTACCAAATTAATCAGGATAGCTACATAATTTTATTGTGAATTGCATCCCTATACAATTAATGTAATACCCTTAATTAATTTTAAAATATTTAAAATTAACGTGTAAATAACATTTTTGAATTTTTATTTAATTTATAAAATTTAATTTTTAATTTTTTAAATTATTAATTAAAGTAAAAATGAAGAAAATTAAATGGATGATGAAATTGAAAATAATTTTTAAAAAAATGGATGAAAATTTGGGGTCTATGGGTATTTTTGAAAGAAAATTCC